ACCGTTTAAATCTGCTGCGTTGACTACGGCAGATGGAATTTCTTTGTGGATGGAACAAAGAAAGTTTGTCGACGTTGTTGGACTCTGGTGTGGTATTTTACTGGCAACACATCCAACGTTGTGATGTACATCAGACGGTGTCGCCGAAATGCATCGGTCATCAAGTCTGTAGAACTGGACATGGAACCAGGAGCTGCGGTCATCAAGTCATCAAGTAGAACTGGACATGGAACCAGGAGCTGTTGGAAAGATCGTGTTAATAATCTCTAATAATCTCTGAAGTTGCCCCGCTCCCTCTGGGATTGTCTGCAGCCCCCCCTCCACTACCCCACCACCCCCACCCTAAAAAGATGTAATGGTTGTTTAATTCCATCTGGTTCAAATGTGACGTTATTGTGACGTTGCAGCAGTGTTGAACTGCTGCGTCTGTTTGGGCTGAGCCACAGAAACGATATAATGAGAGAAGATTTCTGTTTTATCAGAAGAACCACCAAAGTTAAACCAACAAAGTTCCTGTAGACGCTGCCAGCAGGGTGTGAGGTCGCACCACTTTAAGTTTGTAGTTTGTTTTGTTTTCATATTTGCTGATACAGTCCAAACGCCTAAATGTTGACCAGGTCTGTCGGTTCAAACGCTGCTCGACTTTCTCTGTTGTCTCACTGTTTAATGGGCCTGCAACGCAGACTTACTCACTGTTGGCCAATAAAATAAATAACTACTGAATAAAATGGTAAAAAACAATGTCAATACTGCAGTACTGTACCCTGATTACTGCATTACTTAGCTCTGAATTGTCACATGATGATTCTGTCATTTAAGAGTTGACTTTAATGACGGAAATAGGTGAAAAAAGTAGAACATCAATATATGTTTTATGTCACTCTACTTCCTTTATATCCTTCCTTTGTAATCAGTGTGTTATCAAACACCTATCAGTTAAAGACAGAAAACCACCAAGATACCAAAGTACAAAAAGAAAAAGCTCAAAAACAGATATTTTTATTGCACTTTAGGAAAAGAAAATTAACTCTTTTTTTCGTGCTGCTATTGGAGGATGTTGTTGAATTTGTCTTAAATATTACCCTCAACAGAACCAGCTCCATGTACTGTGATTCTGTTCAAATAATCACTGCTTTTGATCTGTTACAGTAAATGATATAAAAGGCCCAAAATAACTCGATGATGTAATAATAAGTATTGACTAACAGAGATTTTCATCCAGGTTTCTCATTTCAGTATTATTATAAAAACACCTTTATATTATTTTTAAACATGTTTATGAAGAGAACAAGGTTTAAACCTCAGCAAAAAAACAAAAACAAAAACATCAATAATCACTGTAAAAAAATTAATCACTGTAAAAACTAATCCTAAATCTGCTAATAAATAGCTAATTATTTTGAAAGCTGCTAATAACAAAGTGTGAGTTTGATGCCAAAGATCGGGCTAAACAATTAGGTCATGTTATACATATATGTGAGAATTAGTGGGGTTTTTTTTACTGTGGGATCTGTAGACAAACAATTAAAAAAAGGAAAACCAGCAACAAACAGCTCGACACTTTCATCTAACATTTAATTGACTGCAAGAAATCTGAATGTGATACTGATGACGTCACTGACCCTGTTGCGGTTATTGGGAATTTTATAAGATAGACTATCAGCCAGGGTCACATGACGACAGACTAACCAATAACCAGGAAGTAGGATATTTTATATTACACTGGCAGAAAAAGACCAACAGTGGAAGACAAGTTTCTGTTAGATCTTGATAACAGAAGACTTTGAAGGTCCAACTCATCCTTAAAGATGGAAATGATCAAAAAACCCACTTCCAATCCTTCGGTTATACATAATGTAGTTCATACATGACTTTAGGGACGTCGTAAAATGTTGTAAATTAGTTGTAAAAACCTCCTCCTGGTGACAGTCTTGTTAAACTTCTACAAAATTGAAGTGATCTTTAGTCAAAAATACATTTCCTCGCCCCACGTTGTGAACACTGTCGTTGCTCTGTTCATGCTGTGTAGGACACCCTCCGTAGGACGTCCACAGAAGATCTAAGAGAATGTGGTCTCTTAAGCTGCCAGGTTTGGAGAAATGGAGGAACACTCCCTGCTCTTCCTCCTCCTCCTCCTCCTCCTCCTCCTTAATTACAGCAGTTCTCTGTTACTCCATGGTCCGCCTATGAAGTCCTTCATCTTTAGGTAACCTCTTTGAAGGAGATACTTTAACGCCGAGTTTTCCCAATTGATTACCATCTGAGCCGATTAGGAGAAGCTTTTAAATAAGAAGAGGATTTTTGATGTAATGAAATGAGCTTAAACAAGAAGAGAGGGGAAATACTCAGGCTATTGTATAGCTATGGGAGTTTCTCTGCAGCGCCCCCTCTGTGTAGTTAGGACTAGAATTGAGAAGCCCCTCCCCCCATGTCAAAACATTAAAAGCTTTTGTTTTAGATCTCCATCAAACCTATTGAAAACACTGGTGTTCCCACAACAAGTCCATGCACTTGGGTGCCACCCCTCCCACCCCCCGCCCCCTTCTTTGGGAACCACCTAATGATGGTGTTCCCAGGATGAGGAGTAAGGAACGGGGATGGCGACAGGCAAAAAGATGGTGGAGTGTTTTAAGAGCTGTGGTTCAGACATTTTGGACGATCGAGAGATTTTTTTGGAACCACTAACGTTTCCCAAAAAATGAAAAGGAAGGAGTGAGTGATGGATCCACTTGAACTTAATAAGGTCTTTGATGACTTTTTCCCAGATCATTAATGGGAAATTTTCAAAGACGTTTGACAAATTAACTCTGAATGATGGCCAGGAACACGAGGCCTGGGAGGCGGAACAGGAACCAGTCAAAGTTTTGAAGGAACATGTTAGTTTTTTTAGTTAGTTTTTTTTTTAGAACATGTTTGTATAAGGTAACACCATAGCAGCAGCACTGCATGTGTTTATATATAATCTGGATAACATTTGGAATCACTCTTAGTCCTGTTAGTCACCGTACCTGGGCGTGGATGTGTTTGGGTGTGTTTGTGTGGGGGTGTGTGTGTGTGTGATGCTTGAGCTTTCATGTGTGCTACAGAAGGAAAGTTAAAATGTTCGGAAATGACATTCTTTCTTACGCTTCCCAGAGTAAACAAGACAGAACATAATTGGTTCAGTTTGACTTCATCTCATCCTAAAACTATCCTGATAATTACATTTGAAAAAAAAAAAAAAAAAAAACCTCATTGATTCTGTCTTTGTCAGAAGAGAAAGTCTTGAATAAACCCTTAATTTTCAGTCACAGGTTCTTGTAAAGATTCCGTTTCCCCTTCGAGACAAAGATATAATTTTTGAACATTAGTCCTCATCAAAAGATAATTTTGGGTACAAATGGATGAAATAGAATCCAGGAAGGACCACAGATATCATTTCCTCCCTGATAAATGTCTCTGTTATTTTTATGACAGTGACTTTTATAGATTTCTGGGATTGCACACCTTTAAAGGAATACATACTTTGTACGGTTTATTGATTGACAACAATAAAATCAAAGCGACCTAAGTCTTGATGCTTTAGAATAGTCTAGTGGACGTATGTATTATGAAATATTGGCTTATCATCAACACTGACTTCGAGGCAGAATGAGATGGAAAATGATTTTTTTAAGTCCTTTAACACCGATGGAACATAAAAACAACAAAAAAAAAAACCTAAAGCTTTGACAGCTCAAGACTGTGTTTACTATTTAATTTCGTGAAAAGAACAAAAATGTAATTACATTTATAAACCACTCAGTCTTTTGACACTGAAGTCCACGGAGAAAGTCTGTGTTTGGAACTCGCAGGTTTTTCTTTTTTTTTTTTTAACACCGATGGAACAAAACGTGTTTTAACTCACAGACGCAGACGGCTGTGGATTTACATCAGATCCACATTCCCTCTCTGTAGAGCGATTGAACGTTACAGAGCTGATAGAGCTGTCTTTCAATTGTTGGGTCTCTGCCCTGATTCTTCACTCTGTTAGAGACGTAGTTGCCAAGTCTGGTTATTATTAGCAACTTTGGGTTTTATTTTGTTCTAAATTCACTTCAAAATACAGAAATTACCCATGGGTTGTGTTTATTTCTTTGTCTTGTTTGGAAACTTGGTTTTAGTCGTACTTTGGTTTTTATTTTGTTTTGTGTTATTTTTTATAAATATTAAAATATTTTTAATATATTTTTTCATCTAATATACAGTTGGATGACAGTTAGACAGACTAGTTTTACCTTCACATGGATGGAGGGTTAGAGAGACAGACCAGTTTTACTTTCACATGGATGGAGGGTTTGTGGGGCTGCTTCATCTGGGCCTGTTTTTGTAGACCTATAGTTCATTGTTTTTTTTTGGACCCCTGATGTTGACTCTGATGAAGAACAGCACTTCAAACTTCAAACGTCTGGTGCACAAACTGTTTCTGCCAATAGTGGGCAGACAAAATATCAAGGGCACCGGGGAAGGTGTGAGATCAGGGGGATGGAACTGTTGGGCTGTGGCTGAGCAGGAACCACAGGTTCAGTACAGACTGTCGTATCTGGACCTTCGGTTTTCTCTTTGCATGAACTCCTAGCCATGCAGTGCAGCAAGTAGAAGGAACTGTGTGTGAAAAAGCAGCAATTCCTTTCAGAATAAAACAGGAAAAGTGTTTAAAATAAAAAAAAAAAGAAGAGATGCAGCACATGAGCACAGCCTGGAACCCAAGGATGAGCAGGACCCTTCTGGTTGGTCCACTTATATTTAAATCTGCCACATGTGGCCACCAAAAAAAAAAAAAAAAAAAAAATGGGGGCGCTGTTGCTCTGGAAATCACCGTCCATGTATCGATGAACAAACTAATGGACCATTTGTTGCGTCTAAAATGTAGTAACGTTGACAGTTATCACGTCCATTTTGATGTAGTTTAAATTATGCTCTCAACTGATCTCACATTGATTTAGATTTTTTTTTGTCTCAAAGGATTTGGCCATAAATAATATATATGAGATATATGTTTTATTCCGACGGTCTCCTCACTGCGTTGACCTTGTGATGCAGCAGCATCATATGATATTCCTTTTCACTGCATTCACCGTGGACTGAATGCAGTTTCTGCAGGTGTCAGTTAGACTGGAGCAGGTAGGAGGGACTTGATGCCCCAACTTCTCATTCCTCGTCTCTCTTCGCTCCAGCCAGTCGCCCTGGTCCTGCTTGGAGAGAGAGAGAGGGAGAGAGAGGGAGACGTCGAACCGCAGCAGCGCTCTATTCCTGGGGAAACACCATGTATTTTCGGCTGAAGCGACGACCGGAACCTCGCAATATTTCACTTTTTTATATTTGATTTTTCCCTTCTTTTCTTCTTCTTCTTCTTTTTTTTTTTGGTGCTTTTATTTTCTCTTTCTCCTCTCCTCCTTTTCACCCAGTCTCTGACGCGCAAGGACACTACAGCATCCATCCACGGCAGAGCCGCTCACATAGAGCATCCTCTGTGCAGACGCACTACCATCCTCCTCCTCCTCCTCCTTCTCTCCTTCCTTCCTTCTTTTCTTCTTTCACTCCTATATTCTCTTCTCTTCTCTTCTCTCCTCTGTCTGTACGCCACGGTAGGACACCTGGACCTCTTCTCTTCCACCCCCCAATTTACCCGGAGACATGGATCTATGGTTTCATTCGATCCGGATTTGCTGGTGGAGGGTTTTGTTCCTGATGAGTGTTTTCCAGGACTATCTGAGCTCCATGCTGGACTGCCCGCCGACCTGCAGCTGCTCTCAAACAGAGATCTATTGCAATAAGTCGGACAACGGCAGATTTTTCCCTTTACTGGCCGTGCAAGACACTGGGAACAATGGGAGCAGTGTTGACATCGCGGAGTTGTTCAAGAACATCACCTCCATGTGAGTAGATGCGGATTATTGTGCCGTGCGTTTTTGGAGTCATGTATTGATCACATCCTCACGGAGGCTGTCTGTGTCTGTGTGCGCTCGGGCTGTCTTTTGCTTTCCCTGCACTGATCCGACTTGTTGGTGTCTCATGTTATTAGGACAGGACTTTTCCCACTTCCATCAGTCCGTTGGGTGGACGTTTAACCATGAACTCATCTTTAACGGCCCTTCTGGGCTCCTGTGTGGGGGCGAAATGCGCTCCTTTTTTTTTTTTTTTTTTTTTTTTTTTTGGGCTGCTCTGCAGCTGCAACCTTGGTGTATTAGAGATGAATGTTGAAAGTGAGTGAGTGATTTTTTTTCTTCTTAATGTGTGTGTGTGTGTGTGTCTCCATAAAGTTGCTGCTCCTCCGCAGCGGCACCGCAGGCCTCAGAGCTAAATGACAGAAGGACGTTGCGGAGAAACCTCAGATCACCCATTCACTTAACTCTCATCCTCCCGTGCTGCGGCTGGCCCTGACAGATTGCGCCAAAGCAAATGGAAATAAATGGCGCAGTAAGGTCAGCGGCTTCCATCTCAGACCACGAACCTCAGAGAAAGACAAACTTTATGATGTCCAGATGATGCGGACAGTGAGGAGG